GAAATTCATTTTCTGAGAGTGAAAGGGAATAAAGAATTTGGAATGTTGGCCAAAGCCCAGCCTAGCCAGATAAAGACAATTTTCAGATCTTGTTGAACCCTGTAAAACAGCTGGGGGTCTTTGCAGTAACAGAAAGAGCTTTACTTAGAACAGAATGATAAGATTCTATGTTTGGCTTTGGGAGTATTATGTGTATAGAGTAAAGCATTTGCTGATTTTTGAAAGATCTCATTTATTTGTTCATTTACCAGACATCAAGCAACTACAGTAACGCCAGGTATTGGGAGTAGCACAGAGGTGATGAAACAAAATTCCATCTTTCAAGGTGCTTATGGTCTGGTGAGCGACAAAGCACTAAACCAGTCTGATCTGTACTAAAATGGAGACATAAAATAGAGCAGAGTCTTTCAAAGGAGGACTCTGAAACAGAGCAGTCCTATTTTTATTTTTTCATCAAATCCCTTTGGATCTGCAGATATTAGAACATGACTTAGAGTGGAATAGATCACATGGGTAATTCTCTAAATTGAAGCAATGATGATCAAACTGGAAAGGGGGCAATATTTTGCATTTCACGGTTTTTTTTTTTTTTTTGTCATCTGCATTTCCTTTCTCAGTGATCACAGGCAGCCAAGAAAATTAATACCCAAATGCACCAAGTGAGCTTTGTTATTTTGGATATTTACAAGGAGCTTAGGATGAAATTATGAAAACCCTGCTTTTTCCCCTCACACATTTGTCACAAAGAAGTGTTTGATTTCTATGACCTGCCTTGTTAGCCACAACACAAAGTTTGGAGAGACTGAGAATCTGTTATATGCCTCTGAAAGCTATCTTTCACAAGTGTTTCAGCCTATAATTATTCATTATCTTGATTTTTAACATTTTCTGGCCAACTAAATAACCTGGAGGCAGGAGAACAAACATTCTGAGAAAAATGACCAAGGAATGCAACCCAAGTCAAACTCTAAGTCATCTTTCTCAATGGTGCCCTTTACACATTGGTATGGGGTAGATCCCCCAATAACACCATTAATTAATTACCCAGCTGAGATATTTGGCAGGTGTGGGCGTGGTAGGAGTAATGGAGAAAGTTGGAGGTGGAGAGTTAAATAAAGTTTTTAATAAATACGTAAAATAATAATTTAATAAGTATTAACTCTAAATCATTAAGATTGAAGTCAAAGTATCTTTGTAATTATAACTTATCAGTTAACACTTATTTATAGAACACCTACTATGTGCTAATAGCTGTTTTAATTACAGAGCCCTCAAAGATAATATTTGTGATCTAGACAAGCTCCATGGGCTAGAGAGGAGGACACAAACAAAGCAAGATAATAGGACTGTAATAGAAAACAGAGCATTTTCTAGGAGCACAGGAAAATCAATGACTAATTCTGCCTGGGAAATAATTCATTATTATATTGTTGGATCTAACAAAACAAGTAGAATTTTCAAGGCAGAAAGGGCAAAAATAATTGTCATTTTGGGGCAATGATAGTGGTCTATTTTCCATGGACTGCCAGGTAGCCTGACAAAATTTGCAAGGTGTTCTAAGATTTAATTTTAGAACGAGAGATTTCATATTACTCCATATTACTACTTTTCAAATATATTCAGAGTCACATTTTAGTGACTAAAATGCAATGCTAATTTTCTAATTTACATGCCTCTATGCAATAGAGAACACATTCAAAATCATAAGCATAGATATTTTTCTCCTTCTCGCGATTAAATGAAACTATATTCATTTAGGATGAAGAAAAACATGGTCTGATGATTTTCTTTTCCTGAATAAGTCACTTCTCTCTTCTACTATCTCTGTCCTCTGCCTCTACCTATCATTTATGTTTTTTACAAGGCAGTTGCATGATCTAGGCAGAAGTAGAAAGATACAGAGTTGGGGGAGTTCTGTGGCTGATGTGGTGACTGAAGTTGGACAAACAAACCAGCAAACCAGTACAAAGGAATAGAAGGAAGAGAAAATATTGGTAGGTATATCCGTGAGACTATAGCAGGAAACAGATGGCACATTGGGTAAAGTGAGGGGAGTTTAGTAACAGGACTCTCTATAAAGGTGTAGAGAAACCAGGAGCAAGAGGAGAGAATGGTTGTCAGAACCTAGAAACTTATGTGGAAAGGGCCACTGAAGAGAAGCCAGCCGTGACTCCTCAGGAGACAGATGGGGGAATAAACCACCCACCCATCCTCACAGCCCCACTGTCCACCCCCACTTTCAGTCTCCTGCTGGGTGTCCTCATTGGTGGAATAGGGAAGACGGAAAGGAGGGCAACCCATTGATTTTACCTACTCCAGTCAGCCTCCAGGACACAGAGCAGAGAAGAAGCAGGGTGGAGGGTGAATATGAGGGGCAAAATGAACATATCCAGGACAGTAAATTATTCTGCACCCAGCTTACAAATGGCCAGGTATGTCAAGCAGGAAAGTTTGACCTTATCCTGTAGACAGTAGGGAGACAAAGAGAATGTTAAAGCAGCAACTGATATGATCAGTTGATGCTTTTCAAGATAACCCTGGAGACTGGTAAAGAGTGAACTGGTGTAATGACAGGTTAAGGCGGGGAAACCAGTTCTGGACGCTGTTGGGAAAGTCCAGTGGAAAGTGGAGGGCTACATTAAAGCAATGGTGGGGAGAATGGACAAGTGATGATTAGAAGGCAGCATTGACAGGATTGTGGGCAGGAGGTGAGGGAGTGGGGCTGGGAGCTGGGTAGATAGGATCCCATTACCCCAGGGACTAGGGATATATGGGATAATGGAATCATAGGAAAATGGGACATAGGCTATTTCTCAGGGACTAATCTGGTGAAAACCAGAGATTATCTGTTCACAAAACAGAATTTCAACCTAATAGAGACAAGAATTTCTAATGAGGGGTTAAAATATGACCAACTTCACCTATACTGTGATAACCTCTGTCTGAATTAACTCACTCAGAAGCTAATGGAGAAAGTGATCTCTTTCTTCCACAGGGACAGCTGCTTAGCTGTTAATTGTTGCCCTGAGGAAGCATTTAAGAGCTCTTGGAGCAGACGTGGGCAGCAGTAACAGAGCTAGCTTCTATTTGGCCTGTGCACATGGTGGTTATAAGCACAACTAATTGTCATAAAAAACAGCACCATCTTTTAGAGCCTACTTGGTGCCCAGCATTGTTGCCTTACAACAACAAGAGGGCAGCTTCATTATTTACACTCTAGAAACAAGGGAAATGAGGGGCTTAAGTCACTTGCTCAAGGCCATACAGATAGGAAGCAGATGTGCTAGAGAACATACCAATGGCATTAGGCCTACTTTTTAGGGGCAGACAGACTCTGGTGGCATAATGGAAGTTATATGAAAATATTATGTGTTGGATAAAATTGCACATTGATACTTGTGTGACCAATTCCGATTTTTTAAAAACAATTGATTTGACTTTATTTCAGATCCTGAGAATGCACATTCGGATAGTTTCCTGAAAACAATATTTTTATTTGATTCTTTTCCTGGGAAGCTTTGTGAATAAGCTGGGCTAAGAAATTCTCAGTTGATAAAAGCCAAAGGATGCTGCTGGCCTAAGGGAATATTCTCAACTAGGGTTGGAGTTCCCTCAGGGCAAAGACCATGCCTTATTGGTAACTGCTTCCTCAATTGAACCTAATATGATGCCTAGTTCATATTGCTGGTCAATAAGTATTTATGAAATGAATGAGCCAATGGGAAGCTGTTTTAAAATGATTTTCCCTTAGAGTTTTTTTGTCATCATAAGGCAAGAGGCAGCAGCAAATCTGATTCCACTAGACTGTGTTTACATAGCAACATGGATCAGAATAGACGACGGTCAGTTAAAGGACACACAGGGACAACCACACAAGTGTAATTCAAGAATTAGTAGTGGAATGTACCCAAAATGATTTTGTTTAGAGATTCACAAAGCCTGGTGGAGTTGGTTCCAGTTGGCTTGGATGAGAGGTCACACAGATTAAAAATAGACTTTCTTAATAAAGAACAATAGGCTACATTCATTTAGCCAGACAGAAAAAAAAAATGACAGGCCTTAGGGGTGCGTCTGAAGCGTAATCCTATTTAAAAGCTCAATTAACTCCTAGAAGATTGAGTGGGTCCTCTGCCTTCACCGCCATTCCTAGGTCTAGCGAAGCTTAAAATAGAGACTCACAAAGATAGGAATAAAGAGATTCACATTTGTGTATAGAACACTCAAAATATTTTTAATATTTTAAATAGAGCTTTAAAAAGCTTGGATATAATATATAATATTATTATTATTATATAATATATAATATTTATATAATATAATAATATATAATATATAATATAATTATATAATATATAATATTTATATAATATATAATATATAATATATAATATAATTATATAATATAATATTATATTATTAATATTAAATAGAGCTTTAAAAAGCTTGGATATAATATAATAGATTGCTTACATTGTTACAGTCCTTTAAATCTTTTGAAATAAATCATATTCTCTTTTGAATTATTCAAATCTGTTACCATCAATAATAAAATATTCAAATATAAGCCTTTATCTTGACATGCAAATTCATTGATTTTTTAAAAATCATCTCTTTCTCGTATTTATATCATCAAACAAAATTATATTTCCTCAAACAAATCAGTACATTCTCTAGAAATCTAAATCAAAATCCATTCTGGAGTAAATTCCAATCATTCTAATGTTTTAATATACAGAAGCCAGGTTCAGCTCACAGCAGTCCAACCTGGGTTAACCATATGCGATGGGACCCCCAGGTGCATCCTGAGTAGGTCACATATATCAATTGGTGGATCCTACTTTTTTTTTTTTTTTTTTTTTTTTTAAGATTTTTATTATTTCCTTTTTCTCCCCAAAGCCCCCCGGTACATAGTTGTATATTCTTCGTTGTGGGTTCTTCTAGTTGTGGCATGTGGGACGCTGCCTCAGCGTGGTCTGATGAGCAGTGCCATGTCCGCGCCCAGGATTCGAACTAACGAAACACTGGGCCGCCTGCAGCGGAGCGCGCGAACTTAACCACTCGGCCACGGGGCCAGCCCCAGGTGGATCCTACTTTTAGCAGATCATCTTAGGAACCTCTGTGAATGAAATTTATCACCCTTTTCCATTTGTGCCCCAGCAGCATAGAAATGACCACAGAGATTGCTAAATAAAGAGTGACAATTAATTTCCTGTCTTTTTCTGGTTGTGGTTCTTGAAGAGGAAAATTTCCAGGATTATGATCATAAGTGGTGGTTGCATTATATTTATACTCTCTGTTTAATTAGTCCTTCATTTTAGTACAAATATCTTTAAAAATTTGAGAAGCTTGATAAAATGAAGCGCTTCTCCTGTCAAACAAGTCATTTAAATAGCAGAGGGAGAAGAAAACTCTTGGCCTCTCCATTCCCTCACACAATGGCATTTCCATTCCTTCTTCCCCTTTCCCACCAGTCATGATTTACCTCCTGATTTTCTCCTTGGAATCTGAAAGAATTTGCTGAGATTCTGGAGTAAGATGACAACTTTGCCCTGTTATATACTTTACTTAAATCGCAGCCAGTCTTGGGAATTACACAGAGAATGTCACAACCCAAGATAAAGCACGACTTTGGCTAAATTTCTTTTTCTTTGTGAAGCAAATACTCACTGAACCATTTATTTCTTGTCCTAACTAGATAGTTAACACGACCTATTTAAGACATTAGAGCTCTGGAACTGTAAGATGAATTTGTTTAATGTTTGCTATTAATCCATTCAATAGCCCTGCATTGTTAAATTGAGCAGTTTTTCTCTTCAACTGACACATGATTCCAGCTCAATATTTTCCTTCTATTCTGAAGGGTTGCCATTCAGCATATTACAGTGAAGAAACCAGACACAGCCTATGATGAGGGAAAAGTTTAGCTCATGGAAGGATATAAACTATGAAAACTTTTTGTGAAAACTATCTAGCGGCAAAAATGAAATCACTAAACTAGAAAGAGAACATCCTCACTATAAAAATCATATCAGACAAACTCTAATCCTTTTGTGTAAAGTCACTTGAAGTTGGGACATCTTTTAGAGGATACTATAAACTTTTAATATGGCTCTTAAAAATCACAAATGTCCAGGAACTAAAGGATGTGCTTCGAGTTTGGTAGCGTACTTTTAATCTGTTTTTTAAAATATTGTTATTATTACACAGAAAATGTAAGACAATATTGAAGAAGATCAATAGATTTTTAAAAAGTGCATGATCCCACCAATTCAAATCTAATTTTTCATCTTTCCATGTTTCTCATCAATTCTTATCTATTTTTCCATAAGACTGGTAACAGTTATAATCATAGCACAGAGCATAGAAAAATATTATACTTTTTTCAGTACGATTATTCATATTGCTTCACAATTATATTTTTGCTGGTAAAGCATCAGCTTTAAACAAGTACATCATTTTCTATGACTACTAAATAAGCTACTTAAGATTAAGAAACAAATCTTGATAATTATTAACAACTAATTTCCAAAGGCCATTCTCCAGTACATTGAACAACACCTAATTCTTTTCCTCAAGAAAAAACTTGTGGTCACAGTTACAATTTGTAGTAAAGCGACAAGAAGCATGTATCTTATTCTAACACAATTAGAAAAACTACATTTTTCTTCTTACATTTTGAGCAAAACAAATTCATTTTTCAGGAATTCAACAATAACATCTGCCCAGAGACTGATGAGATTTACACATTTTAGATATTTAATGACATGTCTATATGAAGATGGAATTTTGTTCTAAAATTGATAGGAAGGAAAATAAGACCAAATGTCAACTTACCAGCCTTTTCCTTTTCTGAAATACCTGGAATAGCCTGAAAAAGAAAACAAAAGCCATAAAATTGTGGAATTATTAAAAAGAAACATAACATTATTAGGAATAAAACGAAGTATCATAAACGGAGCAAAAATTAAATAGAATCTGACAATAGAAAGATGATAGGGCAGAGGATCTGAGTGGACATTTTCCCAAAGACATTCAAATGCCCAACAGGTACATGAAAAGGTGCTCAACATCACTAATCATCAGGGAAATGCAAATCAAAATCACAATGAGATATCACCTCACACCTGCTAGAATGGCTGTCTTCAAAAAAACGAGAGATAACAAGTGTTGGTGAGGATGTGGGAAAAAGGGAACCCCGTGCACTGTTGGTGGGAATGTAAATTGGTGCCACCACTGTGGAAAACAGTATGGAGGCTCCATAGAAAAGTGGTTGCCAGGGGCTGGGATGGGGGAAATAGGGAGAGGTTGGTCAAAGGGTACAGACTTTCACCTGTAAGATGGATGAGGTCTGAGGATCTAATGTCAAACATAGTGACTGTGGTTGATAGCATTGTATTATGTAATTGATATTTGCTAAGAGAGTAGAACTTAAATGTTCTCACCAAAAAAAAAAAAGAAAAAAGATAAATATGTGAGGTGATGAATGTGTTAATTAACTAGATCGTGGGAGTTCTCTCACAACGTATACATATATCAAATCACCACAATGTACACTTTAAATATCTTCCAAATTTATTTGTCAATTATATCTCAATAAAACTGAAAAGAAAAAAGAGAGAGTTGTGGAACTGTCAGTAAAGTGACTAGATCCAGCTATGAGAATTGTAAATACCATGTAATTGTTTTGTTCTCTGAAGACAGGCTCATATTACTCCTGAAGGATACTGGCAATTAGCGAGACTAAAAAGACTCTTTGAATTTGGGTAGAATTTTTGTAGTTCAATTTCTTTGTCCTATTTTGGGAGGCAGAACAAGTAAATTGTTTGGTCAGTTTCTAGGCATTTCCAATCACTGCCCTGTCCCTTCTAGGCTCGGATTCCTCCTGTACAAAAGGGAGATAATCACACCTACTTCATACGGCTGCTGCAAGGACTAACTGTAATAGCCTCTATAAAGCACCTGAGGTCCTCAGGAAAAGGCAGCTGCTCTTATACTTGTTACTATGGGCACTGGGCCAATGGGTCAGTTCACTGATGTGAGAGGTTTAGAAGTTCAATTCCCAGCAATGATCCTTCACTATCATTTGAAAAATAGAATTCAGAGTGAGATGTTTTCAGAAGACTTTAAAGTATCAATGTCTGATCTACTCTTTGTGGATGCTCTAAAACAAATTAAGGAAGTTGAACTTCTGGTTCCCATTCACCTCAGTTATTCATGTATAAAATGCAGTTAGCATGAACGTATTAACTTGTACTGGGAGCCTTTTATAAATCTATCTGGGGGAATATAAATCTATGTGGGGTAGAAACCCCACAACCGTTGACCACACAAGATGTCCACAAGTGATGTCTTCTTCAGGGCACAAAGTCCTCAGAGTTGGGGTAAGTAGGCTCAAATGAGCAATTAATTTTGTTGCAAGTGTGTATGTGTGTGTGTGTGTGAGAGAGAGAGAGAGAGAGAGAGATGAAGGCTCATGTGTACCCCTGCTGTAGATCAGTCTAAGGAAATAGCATCAATCTTCATTTCCAGAAATATCAAATATCAAGACACCTATATTTTTGTGAGGTATTGATCATGGGCTGCCGAGATCCTTACCTTTGGAATTTACTGGATTTGGAGATTGACGCAATTTTTCAAATAAGGGAAAATTCTTTCCGTGAATAAAAAATAGAGTTTTTGTTTTGGCAAGATTGATCTATAGTGAAAGTATATTTTGACTTAATCATGATCTATATTTCCTTGTTCACTTCTTGTTCTCTGAGTGTGAACACTGACTCTGCATCCTGGCAAAGATGCAGCCATGAACAGAATACCAGGGAGTTAGATGGCAGAGTGGAGGATCATGCCCAAGGACCAGGGCATCAAAGCGGTTGTGTAGGCTTCAAGCAACTTCCTTAGTATCCTTTCATTTACAGGAGGCTCATCTGATTTTTCCTTTGCTTTAAGAGGAACTTCTCTGGCTCTATACTCCAGGAAAATTGTTTTCTCCCTTTACAAGAAAGTTATATACAGTTTTGGTGACATTTGTTTACTTTTTATGTCTTTTTTTGGGAAAGCATTTAAAAATGGAATTAAATCAATACTGTGCGTTATATTTTAAGCCTAGCCCCTGGATATCCCCCCTGACTGGAGATCAGAGCTTTTAAATTATTTTCTTTCTTTTGTGACAAGCAAATAAACAAACAACAAAACAAAACAGAAGCCCTTTCATTGACAAGATTGTAAAAGTTGGTGATAGGCAATTAAAGGATGTTCATGGAGAAAGTTCCTCAATACAAGAGTAACTAACACTTACTAAGTTCTCAGTATGTACAAGGTACAGTTTTAAGCTTTTACCTGCAGAAAAATAACTCAATCCTTAGAACAACCCCATGGAGTCCTGAAAGTAAAGTCACTTTTTCGAGGTCACAGTCAGTAATAGAAGCTAAGACACGACTACTGGCATGCTGGCCTCGGAGGTCGCTAACACTAATTTCAAAAACTAATCACAATATTTTAAAAGGAAGGAGGAAAAGGTTGCAGAGGTCCTATGATAAGACATTGACTTAGATCAAGGAATATCTGTACAAGACATTTAGAAATTATCTACATAAGCTCTCTCTTCTTTAGCTAAAGCATTTAAGACAAATAGAATGTCTTGCCCCAAAACACAAATTGAGCAGTGACAGGCCTTTTCCATATCTTATTCTACTTGATTACAGAGTGTGTAACACAGCATGTATAAATTTCATAAAAATGTTAATCAATGAGTTGTGCTATGAAGCAAATATGGTTTAGTCCCTATATAGCCAATGCCAATACTTCAAGTTGCCAGTGCCAATTACTTTAGAATCTCACCTCATTCTGCATGATTCTTTAAGCTACCAATGGTCACTTCCATTAAATAAACTGCAAAGGCCGTAGTAAAATGTGGAGAAAGGAAAGTCAAATTTTAGTATACCCAGAATTTTATAACTTCTCTTTCAAGGTACAGCCACATAGTAATAACAGCTGGATATCCCTCGGCTGATTTATCTTTGAATTTGAGGGCGAATTGGCTCTTCAGAAAATGGCTTATGAATAAATTGATTAAATTTGTGAAATTTCCCAGGGATGGAAGTCATCAAATTTAAAAAATGCTGCCACTTGGTTTTTAATTAATTAGAGCTATTTGTTGATTCTTAATTACACACCTAGGTATCAAACCCTTAGCAAAGTTTTCTTCCTTGTGGGATTCACAGTCCAGTTGAAGATACAAGAAAAGACAGAGTGGTTCCATGCACCAGATACTAAATGGCACAGAATAGCACCATTGCTTGTGTGACGCTAAAAGGAGTAGGAAGATAGGAGATAATTAGGGCTACCCGGGTACAATTGGAATAGCTTTCCTGGGCACCGAACCCTTGGGAAGGAGGCATTAGTCAGGAGATTCTTCTTTCCCTTGACTTCTGAGAAGAGGAATGGCTAGATTTGGGTCCATGTCCTGAGGATCCGTAGTATTAAATCTGTTCCTGGGCTTGGAAAAAAATTATTCCATGCAAGCTGGCTGTAGAGTCTGGTACAGAGTAGGTGTTCATCAAACGTTTGTGGAATTAAAGTACCAAATGCACATTTGTATATAGAGTTTAAATAACATGTATGACTTGCTTATGAGAAAGCTCCCATAAAAAGCATATTTTTGAATTCATTAGGGGTTTTTGTTAATAGCTGCCATATGTTTCATTTGAACTGTATCCTCAGGAAGTGATTTAACATTTCTGGCAATAAAGCAATTAAATAGGATTTTCCTGCTGGCCATATGGGTTCGCTGTAACTTCATATTTTCTCTCATTTCTCAATGGAACAAAGGGAGGTCTACTAATAACTTCCAAATGAGAGAAAGAAATCGTTCATAGTCTTTTGTTATTCTTCTCTGTGATATTCAAATGATAGAATAACAACCTTTTCAATGCCTGTACTGACACATAAAAATTTTCACTGAAGTTGATCTGTTAAGGTGTTTTACAATTGAATTTTTTAAAAAAACCATTAAAGAGAAAGCTTTTTAGTAAAAAGGGAGGAAACAATTTGCTTTCTCTTAATGAGGTCTTTTAAAGCTGTGTGTGGGAACTTAGACTGTGTGTGTGTGTCTGTTTGTATTTTTGGATGTGAAATATTGTTGAGGAAATGCCGATTTAGACATGTCTCGCGGAAATGTTGTAGACATATGTTGATGCTTTCAGTCTGCTGCTAGGATGGTTTTCTGCACTTGCAGGAGGACATCCACTGGACACCTTTTAGGAACTCATACCAACTACACAGAAGCTGCTAACATAAATAGTAACATAACCAGTAATTATCATATCTGAATCCATTTTAGGACAATGACAATTGAATTGATTCAATTTCTTCTCGATGATTTTAAGTGAAAATGGAGTATGATTTTTCTTTTTAGGATGTTATTGGTAATAATATGCCATGTCCCTCAATTATATAAATTCTTTCCTTCTTTTTTTTTTTTTTTTGGAATTGGGACCATAGAATACTACCATTAAGAAGACTCTTTGAAAGCCAACCTCTTCAAAAAATGGACAGCTATGACAGACTGGAAGATTCTATTCACAGATTCCATGAAGGGATTTTTTTTGTCCTGCTGTAAACAACAAAGTACTACCATTTATTTTGTACTTTTTGTTTTGCATGTTTTCAAATATCAGAGATGCTCACACAAAAGTGTATGGAATATTGTTTTGTCCTATAAGGATTTCCTCCACTTGCCTTTTTTAAAATGGCAAGAATCAGTGGTAGAATAATTTATTCCATTCCTTTGAAAATATTCACTTTTGTTTCCACAAAAATATTTTACAGAGAAATTTCAAAATGGGTAATTGTGTCCTTGGAAGTTGCAGG